ACAGGTGGACTCTGCTGGACAGAGTCTGCCACACTCTTGGTCTGTTTATTTTTTTCTACTTTTTCTTTCTTTTTTTTCCAGATTGCATAGTTTATATTGACCTATCTTTCAGTTCACTGAGTGCCTTTGCATGTTTTTTTCCCCTAAAATTGGGTAGTACGTTCCTCCCTCTTCATCAACATTTTAGATTGTATGCTGGACATTGTGAAAGTTATGTTGTGGAAATTCCGGATTTTTTTTTTACACTGCTCTAAGAAGTGTTTATGTTTTGTGTTAATAAGCCGTTTGCTTAGATGCAGACTGTAGCCTGTCATGCCTCCCACGGGCAGGGGCTTCTGTCTTGGCCCCTTCCTTAAACCTTAGCTCATGCTGCCTTCAGTTGACCTTGTGCATTCATGACTCAGAGGTCAGCTGAACAATCTTACTTTCCACACAGAATTAGGGGTCAGTGTCTCGGTTTTTCCCTTGCATTGTTCTCTAGTCACTCTGATTTCCCCGGGTACCTTCTCTGCTTCCCCTGTCAGAGAGTGTGTTTTCCTATCAAAGTTAAATCTGCTGCTCTGATTGTCTGATCTCAGTAAAGCTGCAGAATAAATGTATAAATAAATAGAAAGACAGGGAGCTTGCCGTCTGCTGGTTTCCAGCTCCAACTTTTGACTCAACTCCAAAGTCAACTTGCTTTAACTCAGTCTCAAGGCCCTCAGGTAGTTTTGTTTTGTTTTGGAGGGTTGGTGTGTTATATAAAGTTTTTAAAGACAAAAAAAATCAATGTATTAGGAGCACATTCCTCCATATCAAAAGCAGAATGTCCCTTCCAATTATTTTTAATTGAAATCTTTATTGAGATCATTTTAGACTCATGCAATTGTAAGGAATAATATACTAGAGCTCATTCACCCTTTACCCATTTTTCTCCAATGGAAACATTTTGTAAAACTGTAGTATACTATCACAACCAGAATACTAACATTGATCTCCAGTTTTCCTTGTACTTGTGTGTATGATTTAATTCTATACAATTTTATCATGCATACATTTGTGTATCTACCACCACAGCCTTCCAATTATTTTGAAAAGTGGAGGAAATGCTAGAGTTAGAAAGGCCTAAGTCTGGCCAAGCTTCCCACTGAAGATGATTTCATAGTATTGAGTAGTTCGAACTGACATATACGTAGTTAATGTTATTTTTGTTAATCTCCTTTCCACATTGTTGTAAATGTGTTTGACTGCAAGAATAACTCTGTGTTGTCTGAATACCTTTAGCCACACCATAGCCCACAGTACCTCTACTACAGAGATATCCAATTCGTTTTAAAAAATAGAAATGCATGTTGTTAAATAGAATTAAAAAGTAAGAGTATTTTTGGTGTTCTCTCCTTTTAACTTGAGACTAGTATTTTTCAAAGCTTGCATCCTTATTTTTGTTTTTACTTTCGAATAGCATGTTATACTACGTGAAAGAACTTTATACCTATTTGATCTTTTGAAGGGGGTGTTGCTGCTTTTGATTAAAAAAAAAGTAATTAGCTGAACGTTTCCAGGTAGAACTAATCTTCAAAGCTTGAAAAGACACATTTCCTTATAACTGCTATTTTGTAGGCACTCCCCCCCCATCCATTTCTCTGTCTCTTTTAAGAGACTTCCACAGGGAAGTCGGCTCTTTAACACTTACTTCTGTCAGAGCCCAGTGTTGAGTGAAAGGAAAAACCCAGCTTTTCTCTAATGGACCATGGCACTAGGTAGTTATGCCATGGCTTTTACTTGGTGTCTTATATGCTCTCCGACAAGAAAAATGTTAGCAGTGATTCACAAATTCTTTGGAGAGTAAACACACATAAAATTTCTGTATTTTCAAACAGGCATACTATTAGGAAGATAAAAATTATGTCTTTCCTCTCATAGGAGATTTGAAATTAATGTTTTCTCCCTACCTGGGAAAGTTTTTTAAATTTTGGAAATTAAGTGTTGGACTGTCTCTGCTGGATCCATTGAAAGGAAAATGCCTCGTGAAATGTTGGTGGAGCCCACACAAGTGCTTGCTGCTGGGGCAGCTTTGACTTTGCAGGGACAGTGGGAATTTCAGGAAGGGCTTCTAGTCCCAAATGAGGACCCTGAGTAGATGTGGGTATTCAAGGGAGTTAAAATGCACAGCCTCTATAGGAGAGATAGTAAGGATACCTACCACTGAATTACCTGATTCATGCATTCATTCATCCATCAGATATTTGTTGAGGGCCCACCGTATGCCAGGCATGCATATAAAACTATTCTATAACATAATAACTTCAAAGGGTTCATGTGGTTTAATTCATTGTGCATCCCCACCATAAGCCATTCGATAAAAAGCTTCAATCTTTAAATTGAGTTAAATTCTGTTAATTTTGTCATGCATCATACCCTACTCATCCCCACCAATTCTCAGATTTTGGGACCCAGCTGGCCAGTAAGTCAAGATGGGGAGTTGATGATAACATGGCCCTTCGTGGGAAAGAAGTATGCCATCCTCTGCTTCCCTGCTCCTGGAGGCAGAGGCTGTGGCTCTCTCTGACCCTCTCTGTGAAGTGGGAGTCATGGCAATCCTGCCTCATCCCGCCGAGGGAGGATTGAACGAGTCTGTTTGCTAGGCTCCGTAGATGTGGACTGTCGCTGAGGCCATTCCTGCCTTCAGAGAGGCCACACCCACAGGGATGAGGGGAACACATGTTCATACTACCTGTGCTGTGTGCTAAGGATGGGCACAGCACTCTGGAGGGCCAGGAGGATGGAGAGGGGAGTTAGAAAGTTTTGGGTCCTCAGAGAAGGCCGGTCACAGATAAACAAGATCCCTAAAGGCATTATAGGTGTGGACTCAACCACACTCGGCCCGTGATGGTCATTATTACAGTTTATGGTCCCAATGAGAACACTTTAAAAAATTATCGTGGCAGTATATCAAACAGGGATGCTTTTGGCAGTAAAGGCAGTGCCATTAATAGCGATGCAAGGACAGCCCAGCTGCGAGGGCAAACAGACCAGTGGTTACTGTGCATGAGACCCCTGTCTGTTTCAGTTGCCTGTCTTGTTTCCTGGTCTCTTCTTTTTTGCTTGGTGCTTTAGAATCTCTTGGCTACATGCGGCTTGGCACAGCATAGCGGGGGCTGAGTGACTGGGCTCTGTGGCCCAGAAAGGCCCCGGAGTGGAAATGCCGCAAAACGAAAACACGCACATGGCTCCCGTCAGTGAGTTTCAGAGAGAGACTCTGTGACATTATGTTTTAACATATGTTAAATGTTTAACATTGTGTTTCAGCACATGTGTTTGTATACACATGCCATTTATATACATACGTAATTATTATAATTTTTTACATACGAGGATATTGAGGCTCAGACTGAGTAATTTCTGCCAGGAGGTTGCCACAGCCAGGTAGTAGCAGAGACGGTGCTCACCTAGCCTTGGACATTGCTTAAAAATCTGGTCACTGAGCATGGCTTGTATTTGGTAACTTTGACTATCAAAACGTAATGTTTGGTGATCAAGGGATATGCCGCCCTCACAATGCTACAGCATTGGTTCTCAGAATCTGGAGAAGGGTTTTTACAAAGTAGGTTGAAGCTTCAAAGTGAGATAGGAGAGAGGTATAAAACGTGGTGTTGTGTAGGAGATACTAGAAGATCCTTCCTGAATGCTTTGGTAAACTGCTGGAAAATGACAGCAAAGCTGAGGAAGTGGCTTTTGAAGAGATTCTGTGGAGTGAACTTCTTGACTCTTTTAAATTTCTGCTTTGTTTATTGTTCTATAACCTCATCAATGATCGTTACAAAACGCTTCGTTTAAGATTTGCTCGTGACCTGTTTTACACATTCATCCCTCGTTGCTGTTGGCCAACATTAAATTCACCTTACTGATACTTTCATATTACATTACATTATATGATTTTGTATTAGTAGAATGTGTTAAATGCGACTACTAAAAAGGAGCAATAACAGAGCTTTATTTCTTGAACATTTAGTACAAAACATCTCTTCAATTTGTAAATGCTTTTTCTTTTCATTATTTTAAAAGATTTTACTCATTTATTTTTGAGAGATGGGGAGGGAAGGAGAAAGAGAGGGAAAGAAACGTCCATTGGGTGCCTTTTGTACACACCCTGACTAGGGGCTGAGCCCGCAGTCCAGGCGCGTGTGCTGACTGGGAGTCAAAGTGGCGAGCTTCTGTTTTGTGGAGCAACACCCACCCGAGCCACACCCGTCAGGGCAGTCAATACCGTTTCTTTTTAAAAAAGGCTTTAGACACATGTCACCATGCCTTTGGGGCCCGTGCCCTCTGCCTGTACTTCTTTCATACCTTACACAGCAAACGTGAAGCTGATGAGGCTTCCCGTTCTTGCCATAGTTGCCTGCTGCTGGTGCTTGTCATCATTTCAGACTTTCCAGCTTGTCTGGGACATCATGCTGTTTGACCCCCTTCATTACTTCTTCTGAGAAAGATGCAGATAACCATGAAGCAGAAAATATTAAGAAGCCATAAAGAATTGGAACTGAATGTAGAACTCTTTGATTACAGAAACAAAGATCATCTATTTTATGACTGGGGTGATCAAAAGCACGCCCTCTGCATGTGTAATCACATGCTTAGTAAACACTGTGTCATAGGAAAAGTATAACAGTGACTAGTGCTACGCAGGTGTCAGTGAGAAAGCTGCAAATTATACCATTCCAGAAGTCACGATTTGTTTTGCTGATATATCTCACACGCTGATGTTTGTCATTGAATAGTCTATCTGTTCAGTCTCATTAGAACTTGAGGGTCAAGAGGTGCAACTGTTTTAAGAGGTTTATTTTCCTGCTCCTGCTGTGGGACTGATGGAGAGAAAAACTTAATTTAGTTGTGCAGTTACCAGCACAAGTGTTGGTGATGTCCATCTAATAGAATGGCATTTGGGGGACAAATTGAGTAATGTGTAATAGGTGACATTAAGGACAGCTATGCAAAGAATAACTTAGGACTTTTTTTTTTAGGTTTGTAGCTAAACCATGTGCGATAGCCCTCAACATTCAAGTCAACGGACCACAGATTGCCCAGCCAAATGCCATTCTGGAGAAGGTCTTCACTGCGATTACGAAGGTATGATTCTCCTTATCTGGGGTGTGGCTTGCCGTGACCACAGTTGGCAATCTGAACTCGTTCAATGCCTTCTCGCCTGGGTGTGGGGACTAACTTTTGGGTATCCCATCCTGCAGAGTGTGCCCTTGGAGGGCGCAGGCACCGCGACTAGGCCAACGTGGGTAGGAGCTGGATAAATGTGGGCACGTTTGAGACCTGTTTGATAACTCTCAAATTCAGAGAAGCGTGTTTGTGGGAACAGTGTAAATTAGTGATTAGTCTAACCCTGTGCCTCTTTTAATCTCATGTGACATGAAACAGTATGTCTAAGGGTCAGGTGGGACACTGTAGAGGCCACTGAGTGGAGCTGAGGGGTGTGATTAATGTATATGCGATAAAAGTGTGCATTTGCTTATAGCATTGTTCATATTCTAGCGGTTGTGGTACTTAGGCGAGTGTGAACCAAAAGGAATATTTGAAGGCAAAAAAAGTTGCAACACGAAGGAAAGAAGAACAAGGGTGTGGAGAGTTAAAAGTTATAGATTCACTGTGGAGAAAATAGGAGAAGAGACTGTCACTCGGGGGAGAGTTGAAGTCTAATCTAGGCATGGGAAGAGGAAAGCAGGGGAGGGGGAAGAGATAGGGAGAGGCTGCCCCGCCATACTGCCCTAATAACAAAGAGGGGAGGAGAAATTTCTGACTGAATTTAGGAACCCTCAGTCAAAAGCCATGAAAAACTAAAGCAAATCACAGCATCCAAGTATCTTATTCTTACCCTTATCCATCTCTGTTATCATACTCTTGCGTGGACAGAACATAGAAAAATAGAAGTGTATATCATTCTGTGAGAAGCACTGTGGGAAGTATCGTGTATTTGTAGAGTAAATGGTTCATTTGTGTGTTTGCGTAGCACATGGTTCCCTCTTCCATTTTCCTGGGAGAATTGCTCAGGCTTTTAAGATATGATGTGACACTGTTAAGCAAATTTTAGTCTTTTTTTGGTATCGGCGTTGCTTACCATTTGTATTATTTGTCTCTTGTCTTAATACTATTAATTCAAATATTTGAACATTATTGTTTATTTTATGGTCTTTGTTTCTGCCAAGATCCTTTAGGGTTTTCCCCTCTATGCTTTTAAATATGATATTTTTTACTGGAAAAGAAAAAGCACCAGATGTTTTTTTTTTTTTACATTTCTGCTAGGAAAAAGAAAAGAATGAATGGAATTTTAGGAAAAGCTCTTTGGTAGTTTTAGATTGCCAGATTATAACCTGAAGGGGCACATATTTTATAACCAGGTTTTTAAAGGAAGAAAAATATTGAGAAAAAAACTTGCATTTTCACTTACCATATCAATTTACTGCAGTAAAACACATTTACACCCCTAAAATTGCAGTTGTGTAGGAAATTATCCGGTTCACTTCTTAAGGTGATTACAGCATATTTTTATTTTCCTTGCAAACTGCTGTAAATGTATAGTAAATTGAGTTTTCTACCCCAATGGTCTGCTTCAGTTTAGAAATCCTACAGTGGCCATTTTATTCCCCTTGCCTTGGGTTCATTATGGTTACTGGAGAAAGTCCCTCTGTAAAGCAATAAAAGGATTTTGTAGCCAGGTTAACTTCTCTGGAGCATACTTATTTGTAGTTCATTTTAAGATCATATTCTCTTAGCTTTCAAGGTGATTCTTTTGGAAGTTTTTACACGATCAAAGCAGAAGCCTCATGTTTTAAATATAAATGCAGCAAAAGCTGTAACTGTCTGTCCTTGAACTCTTTGTAGTTCTCCAGTGTTATTTGTGTTATGTGAAAGTAGTAGGTTGTCTGCAGTAGAAGTAGTAGAACTTGGAGAGTTGGAATGCATGTATGTGTGTTTGAGTGATTATTTAGCATCCTGCCCTTGACCATGGTCCCAGGTCAAGGGGTGGGCAAAAGCAGGTTTTCAGTTGTTCACGTGGAAAAATATATGCAGGTAATGACTAGCAAAATAGCTTTATTAACTTAAAAGAATGTCGCAGGGGCATAGTGAACTTAGGTACAATCTTGTAAGTGTTCAAATTACCGCCTTCATTACAAAATAATAACAATACAAAATAAAAAAATAATAAAATAAGTAATATAAATAAATAATACAGTGATTAATAAATAAATCATAACATAAGAATAAACTGTGTGTTTCGTTTACTCACAGCTGTAAATCTGCTTTGCCCCTGCGTGCATGTGTGTGTCTGTGTTACTTTTGGGATCCTCCTGCCATATCCAGCAGCCACACTTTTATAATCAAATCAGTTTTTTGAGCCATTGAGGGTAGACTATCTGTCAGCTATGAAACCAGGTTGAATGATGCAAAAAAATCATATCACACTCCACTTTTGGTATGTTATTCTGTTTTATTTAACTTCCTATAGTTTATTCTCTCTCATCCCTTATTCCTATCCTCATTTTTCCTTTTTCCTTCCCTTTTCCCTTTTTAGTACTGTTTATGATTACTAAAATTAACCTAGGTATTTCTGGCATAAAAATGCCTCTATAAGTCAGTATTCTTCATTTATTTTCATGGATATATTTAAAAAGGAAAAAAGTCCTATAAAGTACAATTAAAAAGCACAATGCTAAAAATACACATGCACAAAGGAAGATCTCCCAACCTTTATTTTTGGCAAACTAGAAGATAACATATCTTTAGATTTCAAAATACACATAAAAGCTAAGAAACAGCAGCTGGGGTTGAGCAGATGCCAAGTAGCAGGAAGTGAAAAGCATGAAGTGTGGATGGAGGGCCCAGTGGGGGTAGATTTCAGGAAAGCCAGCAGAAAATGCAGCTCTTGAAGGTAAGACAAAGCTCCATCCACAGTGTTTGCACCACTAGGCACAGGAACTGGGGAGCAGGGCTGCCAGATGTCATGTGGACTCCCTTCAATTCAGAGAGGTGGAAGAAGTGCACAGAAAGCCACGTGGATGGCACTTTTTCAGGGGTTAGTTTACGTTGGTAGCAGCTAAACTGGTACAGCATTCTCTCTGCTCCTCACGCTTCCAAGAGCTAGTCAAGAAAATCCAATCTCTCAGCGATGAGTAATGAAGAAGGAATGAAGGAATGAAGGAGGAATGAAGGAATAAAGAAGGAATGAAGGAGGAATGAAGAAGGAATGCACACAGCCCCAAAGACAAGAAGAAGAATGTGGAGCAGCACTAAGGAACAAAAATTGTTACTAGAAAAATGAGGCCTCAGGGCACATGAAAATTGTGATCAAATATTTTACCATAAATTGCAAAAGATAAGCCAGTAACTGTTTGAAGGGAGACCACAAAAAAGAAATACTGCACCTAAAGCAAAAAAAAATGGTTGGTCCAAGAAAGAGATGCAGTGTGATTGTAGTTTCAAAATAAGTACAAAAACTATAACAGAAATGAAGTAAAATTGGAGGAACACAGGAAATGCTAGACACTGTGGAAAACTCAACAAGAAACAAGAAACATAGGAGATAGAAATAATAAAACTGATTTAAATAAAGTAAAAACAGCTAAAAATAATTAGATATATAGACCAAGCAGATACCACATCTGCATAATTGAAATCCCTAAAGAAAAATCAAAGTATAATAAGTATTGAAATATATAATTCAAGAAAATTATCCTAAAATAAGAATTATTTTAATATGTTAATGAAAATGTCTTAAAAATTGACCCAAGAACATTAACACCAAGACTTACATTGTTAAAATTATTAGACTTGAAAAATAAAAGAATGATTATTTGATCAGCCAAACAAAAAAAAAATCACATTACTTTAGGGAAAAATATCAGCATGACTTTAATCCTCTCTATAGTAATATTCAACAGAACAGCATTTTAAATATTTTCCAGGAAAATGTGAACTAAGAATTTTAAATTCAGGTTAATTGTTTAAACTGTGTGAAAGCTAAAGACAGATTTGAACATGTAAAAATTGGGGGGCATTGTTTCCATGAGTCCTTTTTGGAGAAACTATTATCATTAATTGCAGCTGATCAATAGATGATGGGAAATGTTACTTTAGAATACATTTAAACTTTAGAGAGGCAGGAAATTTGAGGATTGGGACAACAGAACAGGCAGGAAAGGATGTAAGCCTTACGTGCTCTCACAATGTAGAAATGAAACAACCGTAATTGAGAGGGGAAGGGGAGAGAAGGTGGGAGGCAGAATAAACTCTCTGGTGGCCCAGTCTCAGTAGCTGGGAGTCAACGCACGTCGGTTCAAGCAGCCAAATAAACTCATAGAAGTACAAGCGTATTTAACAATAAACTCTAAGAGAGATGAAATTATTGAGTAATGTGGGTGGGGGAGGAGAGGAAATATACTAGTTTTAAATATTGCTCATATGGAGTTATTATTAACTGAAAACAAATAGATCAGATGTATAATGATCAGATGGATAATCATTAAAACAATATTACCCACAAATAGGAAGGGAAATAATAAAAGCAAACCATATCTGGTTTGTTAACATTTTAAAAATGTAACTATCAAAACAGAAAGCATGCCATAATTGAAAGAACTATAAACAAACTTATCAATTACATCAATACATGTAAATGGTTTGACTCATCTAATAAAAATAATTCAGGTTTGGGTCACAGAACTTAGATGACTTAAGATAAAGTAATTACAAATAGTGAAAATAAGAGTATGAGTAAAGGCATGTAGGCAGATGTAAATAATAGAAAGGAGGGCTTCTATGTTTATATAAAAGTGGAATTAAGGCCAGGAAGAATTCAATGAAATGAAGAGTTAGCTTTTTATTGCTAGAGAATACAGTTCAAAATGAAGATAAAATAGTTATAAATATACATGTATTGAATATCAGTATATCCATATACTCACAAAAAAATGAAAAAAGAAACAATTTAATAGCTAGAAATTTTAATTTACCTTTGGCTTATGAGAGATCAAGTGAATAAAATATAAAACAGAATATAGAAACTCTGATAAGATATAGTTAATGAGGAAGATATAAGAGGTAAATTTGAAACCCTCTCTTTT